TCCTACTCCTACTCCTACTCCTACTACTACTACTACTACTACTACTACTACTACGACTACTAAGTACTACTAAGTACTAGTACTAGTACTACTACTACTACTACTACTACTACTACTACTACTATTACTTCCGACGGCAGCGACTACGACCACAAGACGTAATTACTATTTTGTTGAACGACAACAAGTACTTCCAATGCTGTTGCTTCATGATTGCCGCTGTTGGTAGAATTATTGTCGGTTGCGACGGTCGATCGTGCCCAGCCATGCCCCGAAGGCATCCTCGGAACCTAAATAGCCTCTCTGCGTCTTCGGGGTATTACCTTTGTCCAGGAGCTGAGCCAGAAGATCACGAGGTTCTTACAACACCAGTACCATCTCCGGCAGCAGGCAAAGACAGGGCTTCAGGGAGACACTCAGCAAGTCTAATGTGTATATATATATATACATATTTATTCACACATATATAAAGAGCTCTGCGAACATTCACCACCTAAGCCTGTTTGATCATGTCGAATGCGCGCGAGGACACCTACGATCAACAGCGCGTCATACAGGCAGTAAAGCTTGGATGCGAAGCGCTACCAAACCTTCACCGGCCCAGATATAGTCACGGTATAGTGAGCCTATAAGTTTTTCTGACATAACCCTTTGTAATTGCCCGTACTGCAACCATGTAGTTGTACCTTACAGTTGCCCTTCTCGCCCGCAGCTTGCAGGCCCGATCGGCGCACATCAAAGTCCCCCTGCTGGACCTGCTGCTCTGCCCTGTGTTGAATGGTTTAGGGTTTAGGGTTNNNACCCTAAACCCCCCCCCCCCCCCAAAAAAAAAAGGCTCAGCCGCGGAAAACCCTAAACCCTTTCCTCGCCTGGATTGTCCGAGTGTGAGAGCCGAAGCAGCCCTCGCCTGGCAGGGCACTCGAATGCCAGGTATGTATTCTCGGAGGCCCTTTGGGGGTGGAAATGCTGAATACGACCCTTAAAGGTTCAAGGTCGAGGGTTTTGAATTGAAGGCCTTTTGCCCTTCTTATGACAAAAGAATCCATTATATATATATATATATGTGTGTGTGTGTGTGTATACATGTACACACACACACACACTTTCTCTCTCTCTCTCTCTCTGTCTCTCACTCTCTCTCTCCCTCTCTCGTCCTGTCACTCTCTCTCTCTCTCTCCCTCTCTCCTCCTCCGTCGGTTTGGGTAGAAGGAGCTGGGCGTTCCGAGTTTAGAGCCTAGAACAGCATCCGAAGCCTTATGATTTCAGGAGTGTGGTGGGGATCCGTTGGGTGCCATTACCAAGCCTTCCTCAGGATCAGATCCCAAACCCAGTTTTTTTGGGGGGCTATGCCCTCTAACTACGGGGCCATATCCTGCTATGTTTTAGGGCTCGGGGCCCTAAACCGCTAAATCCTAAACCCCCGAAACCCTGCGATAGGGTTTAGGAAACTGCGGGCTGCATAGGAACTAGGAGTAGTGGTTCGCTTTGCTTAGGACTGCCAGGTCTAAAGTGAAGGGGCTTGTTGGAGTAGAAGCATTGGGTTTGGGTTCGAGGCATCCAACCAGTGCAACATTGTACCTGAGATTGAATGAGTTATGCCCGGAGGCGATTCTCAACGTTTCATTCGTCACACGAGAGTAATGCCTCCGCCCCTCTGTAGTATGCAGGTGCCCGAAATGAGGTTGCACAGAGCAGGTAGGATTGCTGCGCTGTGCTGTCTGTATGTCATCGAAGGGTCAACGGACTCGTTTCATGTTCCAGAGGGGAGGACCCTCTACAAAAGATTTCGCATGCCGGAAGCATTACAAGATAGCTTCCGGAATAGAATCCCGTCTAGGAGGCCTCATTGTAGTAGGCACAGATTTACCACCTTCACAAAGCACTGATGTGAAGGAGGTCCCGAAAATTTAAACAGGGATCTCAGGGTTTGGGTTTAGGGTACACAATCCAAGCCCATGCTGAAAAAGGGCTCGAAGAAGCTCTCTTTCTGAGGTTAGGCCGTGTTTTACTATGCTGCATGTGCCGAAGAAGGTACGCTATGCATGATCCAAACTTGGCTTTAGACGGATAGCTTTGCATCCGACAAAGCCTCGGTCTTTTCACTGCCATGGTGCTTTATGTAGGGGCACGGTTTTGTGGACGTTGTATCATACTTGCAGGGTATGTTTCTTGATTTCTAAGAACCTGTTCTGTCAGAGGCCCACGCCCTACTTAAACAAATCCAAGGCTCTCCAACAGCCTCAAGGGCGAGCTGGACTTTGCCAGGCGCAATGACGCCATGCTGAAGCTAAGCCGCTTTCTCAAAAAATTGGACATTGATTTTTGGCGTGGTCTGTCCGCTTACGGTAAGCACGTCGATATTGCTTCTTGGCACTTGTTTGGTTAAGGGTTCCTTTAAGGGTTTTGTCACGGATCTGTAAGGCTATAGAGTATAGGGTCCTTTTTAATAAGGGTGCCGTACTATCTCCGGAATCCAAAAAGGGATCCTATTTTAGAGAACTGCCCCTGTGCTGATCATGCTGACGCCAGGAGAACAAGTACCCGCCTTCCCATTTTGTGTTTGTCCTAAACCCCCACTTGGGTGAGGTAAAGCCGAATCATTTTGCTTTGCTCAACCAGGAATCCTTGAGCTGGACCCCACTTCTTTAGCATTCACTCATGTGTTCGCTGCGGTTCCAATATAACCTGGATGCTTCATGATTCTGCTGTGTTGCATGCAGACATCCACCTAATCTGCCATCTGTCTCCCTAAACCCTAAACCCTAAACCCGGTAAGTTTTGTTCCCTTTCCGGAGCCTCATGGTTCAGTATGAGGCTACTTGGACAACCTTGTTCCCACGGACGACGTGCAGGTGGGATTTTTGCTTGAGAAATATAGCCTAGAGGCTTTCAAAAGGGTTTCGGGGCCCATTATACCATAGCTATAATAGGGAACCCCCCCCCAAAAAAAATACTATAGGTAATTATTTGGGGCCCTACATTACATGCTGTTACCAGGTTGAGGCATGAGAACCAAGAGTCCGGGGCAGCGCCAGCATATTCCTGCAGAGTGCCCTTTAGCTATGGGCGCCAATACTCGGCAATTTCGTGCTCTTGCGGCTCTACACCATACTTATGCCTTCTTGATGCCAGCTGAGGTAGATGTTCCTCGCCGCACAAGGGTCTTTGGATGTCAGCTGCTTAGGGCAATCTTCTTGAGAGCTTGGCGACTTGAGTTGTCCGCGACGTCATACACATCTCCAACACCACATACTGTTTTGATGCTCATTTCATGTACGAACCGTTGCCCTCACCTTGAGCCCCTAAACCCCTAAACCCTAGATCCGTCCTTGCTATGTAGGAGGGAAAACACCCTTAACCTTACCCATTACACTTCTACTACCCATTACAGGTTTATAAGTCTACAAGTCAAAGTGGTTTTACCCGAAAAAACCTTCGCCTCAAGCCTGTCAGCCCCGCCAAGAGCCCTGGCAGGCCCTTCCTACTATCATCATATTCGTAATAATAACAAGAATAATAACAGTGACCATAAGGATACGCGTGATGATGATTATCTTAGTAATAATGATAGGAATAGAGCGTGGAGTCTAAAACTCACGAGTGCAGACTCGCAAAGTTCAGTTTTCGACTGGCCTGAGCCAAAACTCAAAACTCTAACCCCTAAACCCACAACCCTGCCAGAACCCCGAAGCCAGCTGCCATGTGCTTTAGGGTCTAGGGTTCACCTAGACCACACAGAACCTACCTTCTTATGGACTTCTACAAAGGAAACCATGATAGGGAACCCTGAAAAGGTTAGGTTGTTTAGGGTTCAGGGTCTGGGCAACAGGTCACAGAGGAGAGGACAAGTGTACAGTCAACTGTTAAACGCTTCCCTCTAAGCGGGGCATAGTAGAGGCCAACGATCCGGAGCGAGAGAATGGTATTAGCAGCTTGGTGTATCGAAGCCCACTGTGGATCTGAATGGGTATGGTGCTGATACTTTCTGTATACTCCTCATGTCATACTTATTTACCTAAAACCCTCTTGCGACTCGGACCAGATCCCCATTCGCAGTATTGGGATCTACTCTGAACATTGAAATACCAAAGCCACAATGCCAATACGCACAGTTAGCAGTAAATCGAATCTGCATAGTAGTATTTGTACTGATAGTCACAACGCCCCGTAATAGAGTTTAGGGTTCCCTTTCTTTGGCGGGTCCCTGCAGCGAAGTCCCGACACGGGAAAGAACGAGGCCGATGTCATTATCTTCCACCGAAGACTCAAACGGGCTAATTACCCATAGGCTCCATAGTAGTTCCTTTTTGGGATTACCTTTTAGGATCCTCAATACAAACCCCAAAAGCGAACTACATTGGAGCCTATAGGTAGATAATTAGATAGGGTTCTACGGTGCTGTTGGGCTCTCAACTCGGAAGGCCCAATTTAGGCTTTATGTTTCCTGGGCAGGTCATACATTCGAGCCTACACCTTAGATGCAGTTTAACCGTAAGCCCGACCTTCGGCAGGTCATGCAGACCCTGCAAAACTTAGCCAGTGGAGCGATGGAAGATGTCGCCGCGGCCAGCGGAGATTTCATCTTCCTGGGTGGAAGCAAGGCACAAGGGGGTTTCAGTTAGGGCGGTGAGTTTCTGACTGGTTTATTGTTTAGCACCGCCATAAGTGCAGTGCGCACTATGTAGTCGCAGTCATGACGCGGATTGGAAAGAGAGAAACACAGATACATCGATCATTTATGCGATTATATTCGTCTGTGCCCACACAGACCAGACACACCAGAGACAAATAGGCAGGAACATAGGCAGGCTGACAGACAGACAGACAGACAGACAGACAGACAGACAGACAGACAGACAGACAGACAGACACAGTTACTTTAGATAGTCAGGTAGGTAGACATTAGGTAGCTAGATAGTTGGATAGACAGATGCAAATCTGATCGAAAGGTTGATGGATAGGTAGATAGTTAGGTTGCAAATTCGGTAGATAGACATCATGATAGATAGTCAGATCGTTAGACAGCCAAACAGCTTGATGGTAAGATAGATGGATAGAAGGATGTTACTTAGATCGATAGATGGTTAGGTAGATAAGATAGGTACATAGACAGTTAGCTAGCGAGTTAGTTAGTTAGTTAGTTAGTTAGTTAGTCAGTCACTTACTTAGTTAGCTAGCTAGATAGCTAGTTAGGTTAGTTAGACAGGTAGATAGACAGTTAGATAGTTAGATAGCTAGACACGCACAAAGAGACAGAGAGAGCGAAAGATCTGTAGATAGATCGAGCGACAGATAGATGACAGGCCGATAGATAGATGGATAGATAGATAGATAGATGATAGGCATGGGGACAGAAAAGAACAATATACAAAAGATAGATAGATCGTCAGATAGACTGTTAGATAGCTTAGACAGTTAACAGTAAGATAGTCAGACACGTCGACGGTTAGATAGTTGCAGAGATGGTTACGTGGATGTTGGACAGAAAGAAGGATAGATAGATGGATAGGTAGGCAGGTGGGTAGGTAGGTACGCAGGTACGTAGGCTGGCTGGCTGGTAAGTAATTAGGTAGGTAGGTAGCTTGGTAGCCTAAATAGTAGATAGATACATATACATATATACATACATTACAGTCAGAACTGAGCAGTCCCGTCGGGTGGTGCTGGTGGAGATTGATATCGGGGTCGGAATAGGGTCTGGGATATAGGGTTACTAATACTACTACTAGCGGCTCCTTAGTATGTTCGCTATAGCATACCCCACCCCGCAAACCCTGTTCTACTTTTCAAGGCCCCCTTATCACTGCTAAAGCTCATGTTGCAAGCAAGGCTTGGTCTTGGATTTCATTGATCTCCCGAGTTCGACTGAAGCTATCGGAAAGTGTAGCCTTGGCGGCTTACTAGATGGATTGAACACTTGGGGAAGGCCCCTTCTTAAAGTCTTCCTCCATGTTTCGGGTTCAGGGTTTAGGGTTTAGGGTTGGTTCCAGTAACGAGCCGACCTTAGTTGAAGCCCTGGTTTCCAGAACGTCTCGCCAGACGAGGGCGGGAAGAGTGGTCGAACTTTTCTTACATGTTCCACGTAGTTCATCATGTCCTACATTGCCAAGTGTCTTCTTGGCCGCCGTTGCAGCAATCAACTTGGCGAAGCACTAAACGATTGCCGTGGAATATATGGTTAGGAATTGAAGTCCCTTCTCCATGACACCGCTCGAAGCTGTCTTCATCCTTTCCAACAGGGTTTTGTTCGGTCTACTGTCCACTTGTGTAAACACGTCGGTGGGAAGTCATGCACGCTCTGGGCGCAAAAGCGGAAGATGCGCCTTCATCCGGGCGCACACAGTCCCGTCAGTCAAAGAAGAGCCGTCTTTGGACAGAACCAAGACATGTCCAGCACCTTGTTTTGACTTTCGGTAGAAGCTTCCCTGCTTCAAGTCTTCAAGTGTGATTAAGGGATAGGGCTCAAGGTTTGGGCTTTTCGGGGGTTGGGCCAAGGAAGAGCAGAACTTTACCACATGCTTCGGACCGGACAACTGGCAGGGCTGCCTCTTGCTGGTTCGACAACCAAACCCGTGAAATGGAATTGAGTCTGAATCGAACCTAAAACGCTTCCACTCTGCCAGGCAACTGCGGCTTATCTGAAGCTGCTTGGCTTTATCTTCGAGCCAATGTCAAAGCAATCACGTCTGCAAGACACAGGACAAACAACGACGTACATGAATCCAAGATTGTTCTTTGAATAATGAGTCCCTACGAGCTCCTGTAATACACGGCTGAGCATTGCTGAGACACACTTTCTTTTTGGGCCGGCCCTGTACCACATGCCCATTCAAGGCTGAACGGATCCTTGAACTACTTCTACGCTGACAGGAACGAAGAGGAAAAGCACCAGGAGGCAGCAAGATGTTTGCTTCAGGGACGGCTGGTGCCAGAATTCATACACCCTACAACCCTAAACCCTACAGCTTGCGAAGTAGGATGCAAAAAACCCTAACGCTTTACACCCTAAACCCTACAGCCGGGTTGATTGAACTCCTAAACCCTAAACCCTCAACCCTAAACCCTAAACCCTGTGAGAGGTGACTGACGAGACTTGGATCGCCGAGATATGCCTCTGGGCTTCCTGGGCGTATCAGGGGGATTTGGTCCCTCGGCTGCAGCACGCTTACCCTTACCCTCAAAGGACTCATATTTTAAGGCTTTTCGGCCCAAAGACCCTATCATATATGGCTTTTGGGCTATTTTGATGCTAAGGCTTAGGATTTAAAGGGTCCGAGTGTCGGGCTGAGGGTTAGAAAGGGTTTGGGGGTAAGGGTTATAAGGCGTAAGGGAACCCGAAACCCTAAAGCCGAAACCGGGCGTCTTGCAATGCAGGCTTTGTCCTTGCTAGGTAGGAGGGAGAAAAACCGGACGTCTTCGCAGAAAAAGGACAAGAATTGGGTAGTTTTCATTTATTGGGTTTCGGGTTTAGGGTTTAGGGTACTTGGGAAGTCTTCAGCTATCAGCTGTGGCGGTTACTCCCTGAAGCCTTAAACCCTCAACCCAAAACTGCATCCTTACTTTGCCCTCAATCCAAAGCTGTGTAGAGCCTTGCCTGCCTTGAGAGTGAGAGTCGTAAATCCTAAGCCCTGAATGCTAGGCTGTCTTTAATTTACCCTACGCCCTAAGCCCTAAGCCCTAGACTGTATCGTTATTTTACCCTAAGCCCTAAGCCCCAAACACTAGACCTTAGACCCTGTGTCGCTACTTCTTTGCCTGTCTTTGTGTTTTGTCGGCACTCGCAGACCAGCGAGGTTGCAGAGGACGTGTCCCGATTGACCGTGCCGCTTGGTGGCCAGTAGAATGAACCAGGGTAAGGGCGCGCGGATAATGATGTTCCAGCGTTCTTGCTTCTGCTTTAACCTATTTAGGCTTTGGGGCTGTGTTTTTTCGCGCTTTTACAAAAGTGTTTTGCTGAGGGGTCTGGCTGGGGCAGACGGGTCTTTAAGCTTTGGGGATTTGTTCTTTGCATGGGCGTTACCGGTTGATTCCGGCTATGAGCTGGGAGTCCTAAAATACGACGTTCGTCGCCTCAGATCTTCGATGAATTTCCTTTTTGTTCGATATGTGAGTTCTGTACCTTGCATGCATTTGTTGCACCTGCCGTTCGTCATATTTTCAAACTTTCTAATTAAAGTGTTCATGTCAACATCGAAGTAAGCACGTGAGTCAGTCCATCAGTCGGTCAGCCGGCACATGCTTGCGGTCGTTCATGCGAATGTCCGAGCTCGATCGTGTGGCGTCAGCGCCAAAACGCAGCCTTTCAATGTGCTGCTGACTGCTGTTCCTCATTTCATGTCTCCACGCCCGTCCGCGGTCTATTTTAACCTTTGAGGATTGAGAAGTACTTAATTACTGCCGGCAACCCTGCAAATCCCGGTTGCAAAGATCCGGACCCTAAAATAATCCCTCAACCCTCGCCCGCCCTTGAGCCACGCCATGCTTGTTGGATGTTCCGGTTTGGCGCTGGTTTCATTCACTTTTCAAGGCATGAAACATCCCAGGCCTCCCATCGCCATGATTTAGTCTTGCCATGGTTAGGTGATGATGATGATGATGATGACTGACGGTGATGATGATGATGATAGCGGTGTTGATGAGGGTTTAGGGTTTACGGTATGATGATACCGACGGTGCTGATTGTGGTAGTTTTTTGGCATGACTGCGACTTACACTGCGAAGGATCAATGTCGACGCCTTCTGTTCGATCGTGTCCCAGTGCTACACCACTCACACAAAAGCTTCTGGGCTTGCAAATTGGTACGTGCTAGGTGGCCATGGCGATTACACGAGACCCTCGGCCATAGTCCCTGGGGTACATGTTTGCATGGTTCAGCCAGGTGTCCTCGAGGTTGCAGGTACCACCCCGGTCTCTCCATGTGGTTGAGGTCGGCCCACATAGTCAGTGAAACCCAGGGATCCACGAAGCCACACACGGAAACCCAATGTCGCACGCCATGATCTCCTTGTTCCGCATGGCTTAAGACTTGTAAAATGCCTGTTCCCCGCGCCTTTCATGTGGCTCATCTTTGAGCTTTGCCTTGAATTCTGCATGCATTCAGGGAAGTGGGACATGCTAAAGAGGAGAATGAAGTCCTGGGCCCAAATCCACAGATTTGTTACGGCATTGAGTAGGGGCTTCGCAGATTCGTCATGCTGCGCGGCCCTTAAAACCCCAATTCTACCATACTACAGACCATAAACCATGCAACATCAACTAGGTTGTAGCTTTAATACATAATAGAACAGAATAGAACAGTCACCCCTGTGATCAGCATTGGCGCAATTGCAGTCCGAGCTGCCACTATGAAGCAAGACAACAGGCCAAAGCAGAAATTTGCTATGCTACGACAAACAAGGATCCCGAAGAGTAATTGCCATTCTTATGAAAAGGGACCCTCTAGTCAAGAAACGAACCCACCCCCTCAAAGTTTCGGAACCCTTTCGTGACCAAACCGAAACCCGCGTCTTGCCAGACGCTAGACGTCACCACAAAAGATCGCCAAGGCCATCGAATATTCCAGAGACTTCATCAAGAACTGGAAGAGGCGAATGCGGCCGTCCGAGGGAACATTACTATAATTACTTAAGGTCGCAGCAAACAGAGTAGGGCTTTGGGGGTTTAGGGGCTTAGGGGTTTGGGAAGAAGTCGAGGGAGTCGTCGAAGGACAAAAGCCCTCGTTCAAGGGCATATAAATGTGCCACCGCGTATCAGGAACCTTGCCCAGGCATGTCCGAGTGTGAGTGGTGAAACGCATGCCATGTGGTAGAGCTAGGGCCGGGTAGTGCCATCATGGAACGAGGGGGTGGAGTTTTGCAAAAGAGCGCGGCGTTTGGGGGGTGGCCTGGTCTAGTTCAGGGCTTCAGGGCACCCCACCCCTCTTCGGAACCCGTGGTAGAAGCGCCAGCCACGCATGTGGGAGTGCGCGACTATTCCCTACGGTCCCCGTATGTTAAACAAGCCCATACCGACCTCCTTTAAGGGTTTAGGGCGTGTTAAAGACTCCTGAGATCCCTCAACACGGATCCCGCACAAAAGGCCCCGTTGACCAGGAATCCAAATTCGACACCTGCGCTGAACTCCTGCCAAACCGTAAACCCTAAGCCGCAAAGCCCTTATACCCTAAAGCCCCAAGCCCCAAAGCTCTAAAGAACCCTGAACCCTAAACCCCCTTGAGCCCCAAAGCTCTAAAGAACCCTGAACCCCGAAGCCCCAAAGCTCTAAAGAACCCAAACCCCAAAGCCCCAAAACCCTAAACCCTAAACCCCTAAGCCCCCAAACCCTAAACCCTAAATCCCTAAGCCCCAAAAAGCTCTAAAGAGTCCTCAGAGTCTCTAAGACGCTGCACAGGAAGGAAGAGCTCACAGACCTGCAGCCGTGACCTGGCGAGCACGAATTTAGGGTTTAGGGTTTTAGGTTTTAAGGTTTAGGGTTTAAACACGAATCCCTACAAATGGGATTTAATTAGTTTTTAGTGTTTAGGGTTTAGGGAGTAGGGTTTCTGGGTTTAGCGTTTAGGGTTTAGGGTTTAAAAGGCTTTGAGTTTAGGGTTTAGGGCTTAATGATCAGAGCCTGGGTTTAATCAGTTTTTCGTGCTTAGGGGGTTCTAAGGGCTTATGAAGGCTCTGGGTTTTAAGGGCTTTGGGTGTAGGTTTAGGGCTTAATGATCAGAGCCCGGGTTCAAAAAAGGGCTTAAGGGCTTGAGGGTTTAAGGGTTCAGGGTGTAAGGGGTCTGGGGTCTTAGTTGTGTTTTTGGGGTTTAGGGTTTGACCGGGCCGCTGGACAACGAGGCCTGTTCCAAAGAGGGATAGTAGTTATGTAGGTTCGTACTTGGGGGAGTATATGATTATTAGGTACTTGGTCCCTTGGGGCAAAGACTCGGCTTTGTCGCTCAGGCCCGCACAAAGGTTAGGGTTGGGGTTTGAAGGATCGACATCCAGATCTAAGTCGAAGTTGAAGCCACCAAGGAATTAACAATTTCGTGTTGAACCGCGGGACGAGTCACAGGATGTCGCGGCCGAAGTTGTTCGAAAGCTCGACTTCGGGGTTTGTTGGCCGTCATGGACAGTAGAGTAGCAGCAGCGGCAGCAGCCGCAGCAGCAGGAGTAGT